TCCTTTCCACAGTTTTATTCTGGAGCTTTATTTTAATTTACCTTTAATAGTTTTTAAGACATACCTTACTTGCTTCAGTCTCTCTTTCTCCCCTTCCCCACCAGCAGGACAATTGAGATTGTGTTCATGTGTCTGTGTGTGGGACACATGCACGTAGCTGTCAAATCCCTAAAGCACTGAGCACAACAATGCACTGGTACTCCTGCTGGTTCTGCCATTATTGTATGCAGTGTTGTTGTAGCCGTGTCAGCCCCAGGATATTAAAGAAACAAGGTGGGTGAGGTAAGATCTTTTATTGGACCAACTTCTGTTGCTGAGAGAAACAAGCTTTGGAGCTTACACAGAAACTCTTCTCTCTTATGAACAGAAGTAGTCCAATAAAAGATATTGCCTCACCCACCTTGTCCCTCTGTTTAATTTTATACTTTTTGCGTGTTCAGATTTTATTAAACAATATTTTTGGCATGTCTCTTCTGTCTCTACTAGCAGCACCCCCTTCTTCGCTGGTCCCTGGAAGATTCCTAGAGGTGAGGGAAGAGTGAGACTTCCTCATGAAGATTTTTTAGGTACAGACGGCATTATAAGGACACAGGAGGTAATGAGCTGGCAGGGAGATGAGGCAGACTCGCCGAGCAAGGGCAGTTGTAAAACGGGTAAAGCACTACTAAAGGAGAATGGCAGCATTTTACATCCACTTTGCACTGGTATAAATGACTACACAAAACGCCAGGTAATGGGGAATCAGGCCCATGGGATTTGACTCTTCTGGACATAGATCTGGCCCCACATTAGCATCCAATCCAGTACAAGTACAAGCATCCAATCCGTCTTATTATTGAAGAAAGAAAATACCTCTACAAGGAAATTATTTTGTATTGTAGTAGTACCTAGAGGCCACAGTCTGGAATCAGGGGCCCGCTGTTAGGCACTGTACATTTTTATAATGAAAACACATTCCCATTTTCAAACCTCTTTCTAGGTGGCAGCAGCCTGGGTTGACCAGACTATCCACCACCTGCAACAGTTCCACTGAAAGAGTTTTCTTTTCCTCCACAATAATCAGTTTTAAAAACTCTTTACGCAGCAATTACTTAGCCTGTGAAAACATTAATCACCACTGGCACGCTCATCTCTTTGACACGCATTCCACCTCCACAAATAATCTATATACCAAGATGACCTGGAAGGATGTTGAATAGGGAGAGGAAGTTTAGAAGGCACAGGGAGAAGGATGGTCATAATATATTACTAGATCATTAATAACTGACCACTGGCTGCGAAGTTAGGAAACTTGATCCCTTATAGCAATCTGTTAGACCAAACTTATTAACGGGTGCAACCCAACAAATAATTTAAGAGGATTTTTTTAAAAAAATGTATGTTGCTTCTCACAGTTTAAAGCAAAACAGAAATTGTTTTTATTGACATTTGGTCAATTTTTTAACAGTACCCAAATGTCTTAGAAACCTACGCCACATTTTCAAAACTGATTTAGGTACTTAGGAGCCTAAGTCCAATTGTCTTTCAATGAGACTGTCTTTTTTGAAAGTTTTATCCACTGCTGCTCAACTGCTGTTTGGTTTTACATTCAAACCCTTACGTTATTTTGGTTTTACTTTCTTCCAACCTAAAATGGATTATGTTATGTATACTATCTTTAAGGCCTCCACTGAGATCATCTCTATACAATGGGAAATTTTATAACATCATTTTGGACTAGGCAAAAATCTCTTGCATGTTTTGATACTCAGCCATTGGCAAAGATACTTTTCTCCACACATCACAGGTATAGCTATAAACAGAGTGGTACATAAACCACTTTGTGGTTGGAAGCATTAGTCTTTGTGTCACAAACCCATAATTCTCCATTTCAAGCTAATGGAATTTATCAGTTCCTTTGGGGTACTGTCAAGTTAAAAAATTAATTACACAAAAATAGAGTAATTACCCCAAACTGGAACCTTTTCCTTTATTAGGATGGGCAGCTTGTCACCTCATATATGCTCTGAAGTAAGGTTTTGCTAATTTGAAAAATCCCTAGAATTTCTTAGTGTTTCTCAATAATATACCAAGATACCAGGATGGGTCATTTTACTCTTCATATTTCATTAAGGGTGATATTAGGTTTTTTGAAAAGGAAAAAATTATTCTGCCTTTTAATGATGTAATCTTAAAACTTATCCAGCAATTTTTCTTTCAGAAATATCCAGCGTATACTCAGGGAGTTGGATGGCTTGAGGAATTAGAAATGAGCTATAGTGACTCTCTTCTCCAAGTGGCTGGTTCAAATCCAGCCCGATTGAAAGGTATCATCTGAAGGCTGTTGGGTGTTTGTTGGTTCCCCTGGGAAAATATCCATAACTGGCACTAATTTGCTGGCAACCTAGTTAGCTGTTTCAGCAGAGAGAAGAAGAATTGAATGGCCACAGGGGATTAACTCTCCTCTTCCTTCTAGAACAGTTAGGTGAGAAGGGGTGGGCCGTGTGTGTATGTGTTGGCGAGCAGTGCTACTATGTGTGAGGCTTGGTCTACACTAGCAACCTATGTTGGTATAACTATGTTGCTCAGAGGTGTGGAAAATCCACACCCCGAGCAACGCAGTTATACCAACCTAACTCCTGGTGTATACAGCGCTATGTCGATGGGACATAGCTACCGCCTCTTGGGGAGGTGGATTACCTATGCCGACAGGAGAAGCTCTCCTGTTGGCATAGGTAGTGTCTTCATTAAAATGCTACAGCAGCTCAGCAACATTGGTGCAGCTGCGCCATTGCAGCATGTTAAGTGTAGACAAGCCCTAAGTGAGTATAAGAGATGGGGATAAGGTGAAGCGGGGGGAATACACAGGCGACAAGTAAGAAGAGGATCTGAGGAAATTAAAGAATATACAGGAAAGAAATAAGAGGGAGGTGTGAGGACAGAAAAAAAAAATATTGAAGGAAAGCAGACACTGAAAAAGACAGAGAAAAAGAGATACCACATACAGCATACAGAATCTTTAAGTAGGGTGACCAGATAGCAAGTGTGAAAAATCGGTACAGAGTGTGGGGGGTAATAGGTGCCTATATCAGAAAAAGCCCTGAATATCGGGACTGTCCCTATAAAATCGGGACATCTGGTCACCTTGTCTTTAAGAGACTGTCAGAAGGAAACTGGCCCTCTGAAAGCATCTGGGGCCCAGCCTACCTCTGACAGGCTCCACAAGGGGAAATGAGGCAGCTCAGGTTCACCTGGGAGTAGTTAACTCATTGAGTAACTGGGATTAAGTTAATTAGGCAGGGAAGCCTCTGGGCATGATAAAAGACTACAGGAAGTGGAACGGGGTGCAACAAGGGACTGAGAAGAATTGGTTCTGGCTGTTCCAAACAACCCAATGGAGAGGATGGGGCTGGGTTCCCCCACCCACTCCAGCCAAGTGCTTTGGAGAAGAAGGCTCGAAAACCAGGAGACCTAGGGTTGTCTAGCTTCCACTAGCACTATGGGGCTTCCAACTCTCCATTACCCTGAAGGGGGCAGAGGCTGGGTCATAACAAGGACTTGACCAACACTGAATTGAGTTCAGCAGTATAAGGGGGAGCTAACAGACACAGTCCCCATGTTGCAGTGACCCATAAAATTCTACCTTAGCTACAACCTGAACCATTTTGCACGTACCAACTGGGTACTGGGATTTATTTACGGACCCTCACAGGTAATGGTACACAATTCATTTAACTCCAAGCCCTAGGATGTTTTCACATCACAAACACTTCTTCCTATCCCATACTCTTTAAACATGAAGGTGTTCAATGGTGGTAAATGTTGCAGATACCTTACAAAGGACTCTAAAAAAGCATGGATTCCCTTCCTTGAAGAGAAGTTTGATCAAAAACAAACACCAACAACAAAAACCCCAGGCGTGACATTTTCCTGACTAAGGTCTCCCTGTGAATTACTCAGGATGAAAAAAATGCACCAACATTACCTCCTGACCTGCAGACACTGTTGTATAATCCGTAAAGCATCTCTAACAGTGTTTAGCTTCTAGCGTTAAAATTTCACAAAATATCTTACAGTTACACAGCCATGAAATTATGACTTGTAGAATGGCATCTTGGAAGAGAAATCAGATCAGCTGATTAATATGGGCTTTCGAGGAGAGTATTGATATGTTACAGAGATCAGGTATAGCAGAGGTTTATTTTGTTTAAAAATGAAAAAAAGAAAAATTCTAATCAGAAACTTCATTTTACCTAATACATGTAATCAGATTATTTATATCGGCCCTAACAAAGTATGTGAAGTTGAAACCTTACATGGATCTTTCTTTCACATCTTCTGCCAGCGTCCCATGATCAGAAAGTTAGAGGTGGACAAGTTCTATAGACTGCTGTCTCCATTTTCCCTAAAATTTTTCTGTTTGTGGAACAGGACCCTGTAGAGCTTAGGGAACAAAAGCCATCTCATTTTCTTCTTCACAATGTTAGTTCTGTCATCATCCAATGTGCTTAAGATTGTAGTGTACTTAGAAATCCAATCTTTCTCTTCTAATGGAAACATCATGGAAATTAATGTGTGATCAAACATGTAAGGAAAATAATATGCTATATGGTTGGATTGGCAACCTGTGCCACCTTTACTCAGAGTAAGTGAAAGTGCTGAATGCCATGCTCATGCTACCCAAGCACAATAGTGCACAAGTTTTTGATCTGAAAGAGAAATACCTTGCCCTTTGCTTTCTAAATGTAGACTACAATTGGAAAAGTAACTTACTCCATATGCCAGGGACTAGCTCTGTGCTATGCCTGTTGTGAATGTCCATGGCTTTCACTATCTTTTTTTTTAATCTTTGTCACTATCTGATTCGCACACAAGTTATATGGGACTTTCTTTTTAATAAAACAGCCAATCCAGCAATTCTATTGATTGTGTTACTTGCATTGCTTCACATTACAGTACTACCTCCATCATTTATTGATGTGATCATATGATGCAAAATTTGAAGGGACAATAAAACTTACTGTTTTGAGCCAGGGCTTGAAGCAGGCAATCCAAGCATCCTTCCAAGCTATCTGCTGTGCTGTCAATGGCTGTTATCTTCAGCTTCTTCAAGGCATCACTTAGATTATCTGCTTGGTTAACATGAAGAAGAGAAAAATCAGTGCCCTCATCGATCTGATAGCTAACATGCTTAGAGCACAAGTAGTTACCCTAAGGTAAAGCACTCCTATTTCAACAAGGAAGGAAGCTGTCTGTGTGCTGAGGATTTAAAGAAGCCTAGAGTCAAAGGTTTTGGATAAAATCAAGCTTTTCTTAATTTAAATATACACTTCCCCTTCTGTGTCTGAGAATGAGATGCCACATTTATAAAATGTCACTGAACAACTTTTTTAACATCAGTATTCCCTCAGTTTAGCTGGTTTGGAAAACCAGCAGCAGTATCTCTGCTTCCATTTTACTTCTTAGAAAAAGAAAATGATGAAAGTGAACTCCTCTTGAATGTTTTCATTCACAGGAAGGGGGGTGGAGGGAGAAGAGAGAAAAAGTAATTGCAAATGCCATTTTCTGCTTAGCTGTAGATTTTTCTGCATACACCAGAGGGTTCCATCTTGGTTATGCACACACAAAACCCCAGTTAAAAACAAGGGCCAGGCTAAAAGCCTTTTAAATAAGGACATCAAATATAATAGCATAAGCACTGTGTGTGTTGATAACACAAACTGTTACCATTTGCATTCAACTGATCCATAAGGAAGCTTCTGGAAATGAGAGTCCTATTGTATATATCAGATTATGAAATAACACTTTTCCCCCAAAACACGCAGTGTTGTTTTCTGTGGAGGAACACTTATTCTCATAGAAGTGATTGAGAATACCAGTGCTAGCATCTCAAGTATTCTGTTTATTCAGAGGCAAGGTATAAGTGTTAACAGCTGCAATATAAGTCTTTTCACTTTGCCAGCTGATGACTAACCTCAGTCTGAATGGACTATCCTTTTAAAAAATGAATGGTAATTCAGTTTCCATGCCAACTCAATCAGCAATCAGAGATAGTTACTCAAAATAAGTAACATTAAAAACTGTGTAGTTCTCTACAGTTCTACACTGAGTAATCTAACGGCCCTGACCTGAATCCTGAGGTACAGTGTGGTACAGCTGCTTTGCCCTGCCCTCCCCCGCCCATGCTGGAAAAACAGACTAGCAAGGGACAACAGAAGAAATAAACATTGTAGAACTTGCCCAGGGGCCAAGCAAGGTTTCAAGGCAGGAAAGGTGTGTAGTGAGGTGACCTGTCTCTTTAAGAGGCAGAGGCCTAGACCTAGCCAGGCCTGTCCAATTAGCCCCGCTTACAACATCTGGGATGGGGTGTGGGGTTATATTAGTAGAACCAGCTGGGGATGGAGGAGCTGATTCCCCTATGAAGAGCAGCAGAAAGTTGCAGAGAGAGAGAGAGGGGCATGCTCAGGAAGAGTAAGAGAGAGTGAGATACTTTTGGGGAAAGGAGGCACCACAGGGAACCCTGAGTTTTTGGGGAAAAGACTTCAGTCAGGGAAGGCTTGGGAGCCCACCAGTGTGAAAGACTGGAAGTATGGACTTGAGGGGGATTCTGAAAACTTTATTTTGGGAATGGTTTGATGTTAATAAACTAACCCCCAAGGTGAGGTGTTGATGAACCAGGGAAGAGCTCATCTGATAGTTTGATTTAAGGATAGTTTAAGGAACCCTGAGCTGAAGAAGAGGGAAACTGAAGTGCCTGAAGAATGATGTCAGGCCATGGGTGGCGGGAGGTGCTTGTAGGCAGCTGGCTTGTTCACAACCACAAAACATGTATTTGTTAGATAAACTGTTCAGTGACCAGTGAAATTTGTCAAAAGATACATTCACAGAGTAATATTTGATCTGCTGTTCTTACTATATCCTAACATTGTGTTCTCTACCTCTTCCTATCCATTTTCTCTTTCTTTTCCCACCGCCCTGCAAATTTCTCCCTATACTGTGGTTCTGTTTTTTAATGTATCTCCTCTCTTGTCTCTCTCCCACCTATCTGCAGGTACCTACTCTCAGCTCATCCAGATACTGACACAGAGCTTGGGAACTTCAGCAAACACTTAGAGTGGGAGGACTAAATCTACTAGACATAGATACAAAAACTGGGAGCCCCACTGTCCTAAGTCAAAAGCCTGCCTCCACCCCAGTTTCTGCACAGCTGGGAAAAGAGGAGACTGCTACCCGGGTGCCATTCCTAGACTCCACTCAGGGGCTTCATATTTTATAGAGGTCTCCCTCTAGAAGGTGCTTGATAAATTTGAAGCTTTACACTTAAACCTCTCCATGCTGCTTGAAGATAGGAGTGTTCTCTCTCTCACTGGTTCCCTCCCACCCCAGAACCTGCAATGGGAATTGGGCATCTCTCTGCTATTGTACCCAACCCCAAGCTTTCTACTTGTTGCAAATGGGGTGTGTATGTGGTGGTGGTGTTTTATTAATGATTATTATTATATACTAGTTTCTGCTACTCTAACCCTCCCTTAAGTTTCCATTTTGGGGGGTCCTTCTTACCACTGATCAATTCCACTGTCTACCTCTGCTGTTGGTTATAGCTTCCCTATGCTGCAATGAAGTGAAATTGACCTGATGCTTGCCATTTTCAATGCTGCCCACAGAGATCTGAAGAGCAGCAGCTAAAACTGGTCATTACTCTGATACAGTATGTAAAAGTGTGAGCAGCAACTGTGGCACTAGAGTTTTCTACTTGTAGACTTAGGAAGAGGGTAGTGCATCAGCTATACTTCATTCATGTTTGGAAAGTTATCTTCATGTCTCTAAGGGTTAAATATCTATAAAATGAAAACTTCGATTCTGCAGAAATTGATGGCTCTCACCTGGGAAAACATCCTGCTTGCCATGAGCAAGTAGAGTTTAAAGCTCTGATTAAGTATACTGTAAAATGATCAATTAACCAACCAAAAAATCCCTAAACAAACCAACAAAACACACACACAAACCACACACTGCACTTTCACTGCTGACAACACCCTCCAGGATAGATTTTGATCTCAGTTACACTAGTCTCAAGTAACAATCAAATTGCACACACAGCTGAGATAAGAATCTATCCCTTCTCTAACTGTACCCAACAACTGGCTACACTGGAGAGAAAAAGAGCATGAACTATGCACAAACTTGTGAAAGAAGCTAGCTGGAAAACCAACTTCCCATAGCAGTAGTGCCCCAATAGTATTTAATGAATTGCACATATTTTGCTCTTTATTGGATACAAATGTCCACAGTCTCTTCTTGAAAATTTACTTTAAGCAACCAATCAACTTCACTTTGCCATGAGAGTCACCTTTTCATCATTGATATAGAGAGGGAACAAATACAATCTGCAATCCTCTCCATTCAAAGGATAATCAATTGCAAAACACTTTATCTTCCCTTGACAGTATATTTGAGGCTGCTTCTAATAATAATCTTGAGTGCCTGCTACATGGTCCTCCTTAAACATAATGAAGCAAGTAGGAGGGATTCTGCCTTGTCAAAATTCTGGTCCAGATACTGCGCATCTCAAGGAATCTTCAATTATAAAGATCAGTCAGATTTTTGGGTGGGGAAAGGGAATCTGGTGTTTTGCAGGTGTTTTTGTAGTTTGTGGCAAGGACACCTAGAGCATTAACTAGGCAACTCTTTTTATTCTTTGTATAAATATAAAGACATTATAAATAAATGTCAGTCATCTCATAATTTGCAAGTCAAATAAGTAGAAAACTGTGGAGGGAAAAATATTTGTATTCTAGGTAGAGATGGTCAAAAAATGTGAAAATATTTCACAGAAAAAGTGTCTTTTATTCCTCTCAATTGATCAGAATTTGACATGTTTAACTAGTTCTAGAAGTTCTTGTAAGTAGAAAAGACATTGGAGTTGGTAGAGTCTGTGGGGGGAAATAAATAAATAAACTAACCACTATGCAATTAAACATGAAAAACAACCCTGTCTTTATACAAATATGCTCTAAGATACCTCAGGGAGCATTAAAAAGGGATTCCAAGCACATCTGAAAGCAATGAAATATCCCCCACACCTCAAAAGTGCTTCGTTTGAGAGACATTTTTATCCTTCCTGCACTAGGCACTACAATGCATTGAAGAAGAACTGGAGCATTGGACCTTGTGGGACTGGGGAAATGTTGCTGCTTGTTCCTGTTATACCCAGCTAAATGAAAAAGTAAAATTGGAAAGAGAAGGAAGGATTCTGCCTCAGTTCATTTCTGATGTAATTTAAAGACACAGAGGAGTAAGAGACCAAGTAAGTAGATTTTAATGTCGCTTGCTGTTTCATATACTTCATTAACAAGACAATTATATATAGAAATTATGCATTTTGGCCAAAATTTTCGAATGCGGGTACCCAAAGTTAGAATCTGAATCCGTATTTAGGGACTTAAAGACAAGCAGCCTAATTTTCAGCAATGCTGAGCCCCTGCAGCTCTCTCTGGCTTCAGGGGAAGTTAAGGGTGCTCAGCACCACTGAAAATTAGCTTATGGGTCCTTTGGTGTCTGACTTTAGACACATACTTCTGAAAATGTTGGCTTTTCTCTTTAAAGTGTGGATTGGTAAATGTGACATAGTGGCAAATTGTTGCCAACTGGCGAAGGGTTCACTATTCTTTACAAGCAACTCCTATCATACAACTGACAAACTTACTACACCTAATTCACCCTTTTCATGGTATTTATCCATAAAGATTAGTATGTGAGGTCTCTACTGAAAGCTTGTAACTTATCAATTCTCATAATCATTGATGTGTGTACAGATAATATTTAAGGAATAATATAAATATATTGACAATTATGCCCTTCTGATCTTGGAGTGAAAATGAGTCACCAGAGAATCATGTCTCTGTAATGGCCCATTCAGGTGGGAGAGAGTTGTCACTTCTCCCTAGCTAGCCGATTACCTAATTGCTCAATTGTTCATTGTTGCAACAACCCACAAAAGTCAATAGAAAACCATCAAAAATAAACTATAAACATCAAAACCCCCTGGAAGTGAAAAGGAACGATAGGACAGCAAGGGGATAGCCTTGTCTGTGAATAAAGACAAAACACCAATTCAGTATGTCATAGGGTG